CAATGATTCAAATATGTTTTCCAATCAAATTTAACTAGATAAAAATAGCATCAAGTTCACAATCGCACTTGATAGAATACTGATTCACAAGTGTTGGCTTAGGTACACACAGAATACTAGTGCAGAAATTGCACCACACTGTCTCTAATAGAAACACACCACGTGGAGATTCGTGGCATAGCCAACACTCGGATACAAAATCTAAGAATCTTTTTATTGATCCAAGAATCTTTAGAAATAAAAAAAACCTTCATTAACATCCACCAATATTGATCGATATGCTATACATATATGTTTTGATTGGATTAATCTTGAAAAATTGTTCAACTTATTGAACTTATCAACAAATGCAATCAAATTATGTTCATTCATAACGTTATATTATTTCATCTATTGATACAAATTCAGATATATAACATATCCTCTCCATTTCGTCTATCAATACTATTTCCATTGATTTTTTTCAGATAAGACTCTTTTTGTAACTACCCATATTTTTGAAAATTCGTTTCCAAACATATCATAGTTACCATATTATTTACTTTTGAACATTTCTTCGTCTGCTGTGTACTATCTCTTCTATATTATCTTCCCATTTCAGCTTTGTGCATCATTTTCCTGGGGATTCTTCTTCTGGAATTCTCCTTTGTTCAAAATCATCTCTTATGTTTTGTTTCTAATTTGATTCTTTCTAGTTTCTCCCTACCCCTCCGATTCTTTTTAAGAATCTCATTTCAGCCTTTCCTTTTTTTGTTATAATCTATTTTCAGTCTTTCCTCGTTTACTGCTTATGATTTCATCTTCTTCCCCTTTCGTTATGTGCATAATCTTGGTTTTTCCCTATATTTATTTACATCCCGCTTTCTTTTAAGCAGATTCCAGATGTTAATTTTTCTTTGTAAGTTATGTTTCCTAGTCCTGCTATCATCATCATATAGCCTGAATAGACTACATAGAAGGTCTTCATCAATGTGAGTCTATAGCAACATTGCGGAGTGTCTAAATGTCAGTTACTCCTCTTTGGTGGTTTTCCCGCACGTGGTAAAACTTTGTTAATAAGTAGCTGCAAATATTTCGGCGCTTGATATTGTCATACTAACTTTTATCTAATTTTGTCAGCTTATTTTTTGGAATGAATTATTATTAACATATCTAAAAGTAATAATTTGAAAGCATTTGCGCTGGATTGTGTATACTGTGATTTGGAATTTGACAACGATATAGATGACGATTCAAAGAATCTAGAAAAATATACCACATTTTTCGTTTTAAACGATGGATAGAACGGGATGTTACGTCGAAAATCAGTGATTTTCTCCATCTTACTGATAATTGGATGATGCTAATTGAAAACGACCATAAACTGCACAAAAAATTAAATTGAGATAACAGAAGAATACCGCACATTTTTTCAGTAACAGTATTTTTTCACCAATAAAGCAGAAGTCCCATAGAATTCTTCCCCCATCAAATCAATGGTTGGTGTGCCAATTAACAGAAGCATCATGTTGGAGCACCACCTCGTTACACATGGAAGAATAATAATGGTGTTTTATCACATAGGCGATAAATAGTTGATCATTCTTCAAGGCACATAAACCAGACTGTACAAAAACGTCAATTACAGTGCTCAAGGTGGAAAGAATTTAAGCACTCTGCGTAGTACTGACCTATACCTATGTAACTTTAACTTTTGCTGTGGCAAATACTGTATAAATATTAGGTTGCCACATCGTTGGCAATGTTGTTGTGGTGAATGATGCAGAGAACTGGTGTGAGTATCTTTAGAACGATTATGTAATCCTATGGGAATGTGGTGCTTGTAGCGCCATGATACTTTCTGCACTTCCAAAACTAATTTTGCAAAACCTAAAAATGTTTGATGTCTCCTGATCCGCATATTTACCTTTTCTCTCTCTCTTTCTTCAAGAGTTTTGCTAAATATTATTATATCATCCAAGTATATAATCAATCGTAGTAATATGGAATTTATATGTCATAAGTCATAAGTCATAACAAACGATGCATTAACTTAATAAACAGTTATTGTTGAAAATTGACAAAACAAAAAGTTTGAATTCCAAAAATTAGTAGTGGAGTTCTACACAATGTAATTTTGTTGTAAAAAGTATTTATGTTTATTTAGATTTGGAAAAAGTACAACAGAAAACCCGGAAAGAATTTATATTTGTATTCATGTGAAACGTTAAAGCACTCGAAACGGAGCCAACTATATAAAAGAAGATAAAATTTGTTATGACAATAACTTTGTGTTTACATTTGAGATCTCGTAAACTATTCTGCACTTGAAAATGTTCAATTGAAATAAATATTTTTAAATGGAATACTGAAAGGTGTGACGACTTACACAAGCGGTTTATCCGTTATAGGTCGATTTTGCGTTTGCAGTGTTCGAAAGTGCGAATTCAATTTGAAAGCGACTAGTTTTAGTGGGCAATAATAAACAAAACTGCTGCCTCAAAAACCTTAAATCACTCCATGTTACGACCGACCCGACTATAAATATCGAGGAAAACGCTTCTATAGTAGTAGAGAGAGGAGTGTGAGTAAAGGAATAGTGGCGGCGGTGGTGCTCCAGTATTTTCATTTCTGACTCAGAGACCCGCGGTTAAGGTTACAATTCTCCGCAGTCGACGTAGCAAATTCTATTTTGGGAGCGGTGATGTCGACCCGAATCGATTGGTTCTCTGATCCTTTTCTTTTCTAAACTAGGAAACTAAAAATTGTTTTATCGAAATTCACTTTACTTCTAAAGTTGAAGTAAAGTTTATTTTTTCGATTATCCACTAATTAATGCAGTATACTTTAAAAAAACGTATTCATAGTGCGAGGTTGCGTGATATTTGGTCATCTGTCATCAGGCGTTATCGCTTCTCAGTGGCGAGCCTTCGTTATTCAAGGAAGAAAAATCGGATCGATACAACAAAGACACGCTCGGCATTCTATTCCTTTTTTTAACTAAAACGCACGCTTTTCTACGCTCTACAAGTTTACAGTTTCACGTAGTAGTACAAAAAGTAACATGTTCATCTTTTCTAATGAGTTTCTCTATACTAAAAGGTTCACACTCAAGAAAGAGATGACAGATGTTTTCCACGTTTTCGGATTGAACGAGTGAGACAAAAAAAATAATAGGAGAGAATTGTACAAGGTCACGTGGTCGAGAAATGCAACCGCTACTTGACGACGGCGACCAAACTCTAATTATAGACGATTCAAATTATTCAAGGAGACAAATAATTGTCATTGAAAATTTATGTTTTTGAAAAGTTTTCTGTATAATAAAAAAAAATATGTTATGAAAAATGAAATAGTATAACCTCGATATAACGAACCTCATTAGAATGGACTTCGGATATAATGGAGAAAATATTTTTATGTTATACTATTAATAGATCAATACATTTAATTATTAAATGTTGTATTATAAAATGTTACGCTATAGATAGAATACAACCTCAAATTGCTCTATTCTATGTTCATTGATAATCTCCGGGTATTCCCAGAGTTGCCTGCACGATCATCAATCAAAGACGGTAATTATGGTTTTAATTGTTATTCATTGGTAGATTGATATATATATTTTTTGATCTAAAAGTAGAACTAACACCAGACCTAGAATTAGACACATTCGGGTTTAATCATGCGTCTCTTAAAACGACTAAACCCGAATGTTTCTAGTTCTAAGTCTAGTTTTAATTGTTACTCAGTGTTAGATTGTTGTACTTTTTTATTGCGCTAAAAGTACAACTAATACTAGACCTAGAACTAGAAACATTTAGGTTTAGCCGTCTTAATAGACGTACGGCTAAACTAGATCCATATCGTTATTTTATATTATGAACCATAAGTCTCAAACTAACAACATTACCAAACACGAAGAGAATAAATTAAACATTTGCTAATTCAAAGTGTGAAATAGTAGTTGCCTACCCATGCGTGACGTCACGAACGGTCCTTCGATCTATACACCTTTTCCTGAGATGTAGCAGTTCTCTTAGATTCTACCGCCCTTTGTATAAATATTAAGCAATGTAGACTAAACACAATGATGTCCAAATTCGTGTGCAATAAAATTATTCATTGGCTATTACGGACACTCTTCCCCGTATTAATCCGTTATAGCGAGGTTTTACTGTATCAATATTTTATTTTATTTATTATTATATAACATTCTTTACCGGTCACGTTTATTAATTTCTATTTAAATTTGATTCTAGCGTTTATACAAACATTTTGATCAAACTTTTTTTGTGTTTTGTTGGTTGAACGGGTTGATATGATAAGTGGTTAGAGTACGAGGGGGCGAGGGTTTATTTTTGAATGGCGCGTGTGTACGATGGTGGCGGCGTCGGCGGCGACCCGGAGGCCCGCGCCCCCTGCGACCTTGAGACGAAAATCAATGCAGCTGGAGCGTGTGGCGTCGTCGCCAGGACGACGGCGTCCATTCATCCCGGCCGTAGCCCCGACGCCGCCCCCACTATGCCTATATACTACAATACTCCTGGGCTACCGTAGACGACCCCCGTACCGCAACCCTCCTACACCCGCCACCACCGGCCGTAGCAACGTTTCCTCCCTCACCGTTATTCCATTCCGGGCGCGACCTCTCTCATCTACGACTCCATTCATAAATTCCCTATTTCTTTCAACCTAGACAATAACAACAATATATTAACAATTTTACTTAAGCAATCATTCTTATTTCTTTTATAAAGAGAATTTGAAGCATATATCTTAATTAAAATGTAAATTTTATTAGTAAGCAAAGGCGTTGGTTTCAATTGAATAGAACGTGTATGTGAACTTGATAGGCTTCCTAGTTAGTTCCAACTCCCAAAGAGTCTCTTCATTCGTTTGTGATTACTTTCGCACACGCGTGATTGAATTAACAATGGTTTCGTGTCTGCGATTCTCGACATTAATATATAACTGAATACTTTACGATGTCCGTAGTATGTAAACTTACTTTGTTGTAGATTGTTTCATCGTCAAACCTCAGTAAACAACGTGAATCAGCGAAAAAGAAGAACGTTGCGTGATTGTTAACATAAATATGATTGAAGATGTTTGTTATACTCATAGTCAGGCTTGTATTAATATAAATAATTAATATAAATCAAGCAGAAATAAACCATGCGGGAAGAGGAGGTTCCATCTAATCGCGAAATGTGATACTGGTGCGTATTCTAGACAGGACGTCGCGCCGTTATTTTACCTACATAAAAAAATTAAGACTTTTCCCCTCTCTGGATTGGGTTACCATCTTGGATCTAGGGTTGATCACTTCGTTTCAAGAGCTTTATAAACCCACTCAATCTGAATCCTTAAATGTTCTTGGGTTGCTCCAGTTGGGTCTAGATTGTGATTTGGAAAATTATGCAGAAAACATTACAAAAAGATGCCTGACACTTTGTAATGCACCAATATTGGCATGATATGTCAACACACTATGTAGAAATAATTGTCATAAATATTATGATCAATTCTTAACATGTTAATTATGATTTCTTTATGTGTTAAAACTGTAAAGTGGGTTAATTATGCTAGAACCAACTCATTTGGCTGAAAAAAAGAAAAGAATATTATAACCCACAATCTGACATTGAATGATTTATAATTTTATTATTTATTTTGACAGAGGTATGAGCCTAAAACTTTTTAAAAAGGCGCTCGGTCGCTTGGCATTCGTTCCGGATAGTAATTACAATGAACGGATTGTTTCCCAACCGCGGCACCTGACCTTGAACGCGAAACAATGGCCACATTGGACGACGAGACGCGTCTCGCATTCCGGAGACGCTCCGTCGGGGCCCCTGAGGGCTACGCCCCGAAACGTCCGCACGCTTGCTTTTATTATTACGAGCCGGGGTTGCGTAAAGACATGAAAGGTTATCGACCTTCCTTACAACCGCGTATTACGAATTGCGAAATTGGAACACTTCGATCAGTTCGCGGCCTTAGACACGCTTTTCTATTTAGTATCAAGTGTTTTTTTTTCGATACGTTTCACTGACGATTTAATATTTCAACAAGAATATATTTTTGCATTAATTGAACTATTTTCATAGACATGGAGGTTATTCATCAATGGAGGTGCGGTTGGTGAGTTTAAGGGACTTATAATACGAGGGTTTATTGTAAGGGTGGGGGTTGGAGACCCGGTGACCCAGAGTTTCCCGGAGCGTTGCAGAGAGAGATGGGCAAAAGCGTACGTACGCTGCTGAAGTGAAAATCGATCCGACGGCGGCGGCGGTAGAATATTGCTCTTTGTAGAAACTCTCATGAATCAAAATCGCCCCGTCTACTAGTCACGGAGTTGCGAATACCGAAACAAGTTAGAGCACGCTCACGGACGTCCGAATTAAGGGGGACCTAAAACGATGGAGACGGTTTTGGTGCGGGGGAATTAACGAGAAGGTCGTACCGGTCGCGACAGTACAAGGCGAAGGTTATAGTTATCGCAATGTGACGGAAAACGGTGGGGGAGTTGAACGTTACGATGTATACCGCGCAATGTCCCCCTCCATACACATAACCTTACCCAATAGAGGACAACTTAACTATAAAAGATATGGATTGGTTTAAAGCGATCAATGGGAACTATCAGCAATGTTTAATTCCATCATATTTAACATTCAATATAACACACAAAAACTGTTAAATTTACAGGTTTTTTGTATTGTTTATTCTTTGTGCTTCAAGCGCACCAGAATTCACGGTCTGACTGCGTTTCTAAATTTCTTTCTTTCAAAATTTTAGGCATTTGTGTGAACACTTACCTTTTAACACTAATTAGCAATATTACAATTCAAAAATTCTTAAGCGGTATTTTTGCAATGCGTCATGTGTTGTAAAAAACCTAGAACTTCCATAATATCGAAGTTCTTTTGTTCTAAGAAGTCCTCAAGCACTTAAATAAATACCTGCGAAATTCACCGATAACGTATTTCTTTGTCCACTCTACAATAATTGAAATTGTTTGCTTTTATTGTAATAACAAGGTTTGCTTCTCAGCTTGTTATTTCTTGTATTAACTGTCTTAAGATATTTAACATAGATTGTATTGGTGTCTTTTCCTCGGAGACATTTAAAATTCTTGGCAATACCGTTGTTGCTGATTTATCCTATATACTTAAAGAGAGGAATGCTGCTTTAAAGCCGACAAATATTCGTTGGCTAAAGGATTAAATGTGAGAACTCGAACTTGATGTTCTGTTTGTAATTGGTGAGACTACAAATTTAATGGCAATTGATATTGGTGCAGATTGCTCCATGTAAATGCTTAGGCATTCACTTGCTAGGATGAAGTGGGACTTACAATTAGGTATTCTGACAATTACTTTGGATAAACCGAACCAGGAAAAGAAAAATGCCGAACAGATGTTTTTGGTTGTTTAGTGTTTATCATCAAAATGTTCCTGGACTATGTACAGAAATTTTTTGAATTGGTTAAATAAATCTGGTTTTAATGGAGAACTTTTCACAACTACCTATATTGTTTTTAAAGCTGATAGACATTGTGATACTACCAATAGAGATGATGGCGAAGGTGTACTAAGTTTATAGAAGGTATATTGACAGATCTTGTTTCCTAGTGATGCTATTTGCTTGGTGTTCGACCTGCCATAACTTATTATTTATGACATTAATTTACCTACGTTTCTTTACTCTTATATGTTTGGAGTATAGTGCATTAATATTCAACTATTTACTTTAATACTCTTTACAATTATCACTATCTTCCAAGACTCATATCGTTACAGCAACATTTTTTCATGGTTTAGGTATGTCATTAAGCTTGTATCAAGTTTAAGGTAATGTTATTCATCAGAGGTATGTTGGAAGAACGGAGAAAGATAGTAGTGAAGATCCTAAGGAATTCTTGGAATTGTGTGCGTAGAGGCAGGCTTGATTCTAGGAGCACACCAATGGGGTCATTTTTTACATTCAGTCTCATATACCGTATGAGTTAGTGGCTGTGTTAGCTTGTGCTTATTGTTCAACTTACTTATGGTATCCACTAACACCTATTGAACAATTTCATAACGACTCAGAAAGTTTTGGAGGTTTTGAGGAAATTGTCAAATAAAAACAGAACACGATGATTAATTATTCTCTTTTCTGTACGGGTTTGCGGATCTTTTTTGCAAAACCATTATACCATATTGTGCTTAAGAAGTTGGGCATTGTTAATTTGAGTTAGGGGTTTCTCAATTAACGCGTGAAATTCGTCGGTCGTGATTTTATCAAAGATGAAAAACAAACGACTTTGTAAAAAAACGCAAGACCTTACACAAAGAAATACAATGTAAAGTTACAAATAATAATTTTTCAAAAACAATCTTATCAATAATATATACAAGAAGAGACTTCCAGATCAAAACAAAATCTAAACATTTGTTTTTGTTTTCAGATTAGAGGTGGTATTAAGGGTACGAGCCGATGATTTCAGCGGAAGTGGACAGTCGTCTCACGTACATGACCTATCCAGACCCTTGGCGAGGAACGCCCAAACAACAGCCGGAATTCCTCAGACCCCAACCAAAGCCGTTGGCGCTCAACAAATATAATGGGTTGAGCGCCTCATCAACGACGTCGGGTCCAAATGGGACCCGGCTAATCCACACGCAACAACGTCCCCCGACCAAATACTCTCCGCCGGCGGCCGCTCCCGTAAATTTAACCCAGCATCAAATGAAAGAAGAAATCACTGAAGACCTCCCGCAGTACTCTCCTTATTCAAGAACGTTTTCGACATTCGCCAATTACTCCCACCAGTATCACCATCAAATGTATCAGAACCACCATTTCCACCAGCCGATGTTCCGGCCAACGTACGTCCAAACGCAAACGATCCCGTTAGAAAATTATAACAACCCTACAACACCCATAGCCACAACGAATTCAGGAACGTTTCTTTCACCTCCAGCAGCTTATAGTCCACCGACGAAACTCCAACCTACCAAACTGGAAAGGAGGATATCGCAGAGCCGGAGCCCTCCGTCGTCGACGACGCAGCAGCAAAATTTTAAAGTACCTTCGGGAAAAGAAGGTTCTTTGAAGCATAGGTTACTACTAAGGCCGGAAGAGACGCAAAAATGTGCCATAGATTTACACAAGTCTATCGCGCAAGAACCACTCAGGAAGAAGTTATCCGCGACTGCGTTATCGCCGCCACGGTCACCAGCCTCAAAGACTGCCTTCAACAGCAGCAGCCCGGCTCTCGTCAATTTTTCGAAAGGTTGTCTGATCCAACTCGAAAACGGCGACTTTAAAAAGCTGGAGGACATGAAAACTGAGGACTTTGTACATTCGGCCGAAATCAGTCCGGAACTTAGGTTGGCCGATAGTACCGTTGTTAAAATTGGAGAGAATCCAATTACTGGCAGTGTCGCCATTATCCTCACTTATAACCAAAGACGTGCAGAGGTAAGTCGAAACTTTCTTAATATTACAATACAATTATATATTGTATATTATGAATAAATTTTGTTACACTTATTGTTTTCAGAAGATATAATTTAATCAGTCTTAACTAGTTATCTAATATATTTCGATTAAGAATTGTGTATATATGTTTATAGATACATGTTGGTCACTATACATAACTGCTTCAATTTGTCAAAAACTGATTTAGTAAAGCTTGTTGAAGTGTGGTGGCGCTCCATCTTGTTGGAATAACTGCTGTTGGAATTGAGCGCTGAGTTCACTTATTCGCTCCTCAATATGCGTGGTGCATTTATGTTTGATGACCTATATAATTTATATAGACTTCAAACCGTATTTGACACAATTTTTGTGATTACGCTGATCTTCATAGCATATAATCCCCTACTGAATTCTTCTGCATTATTTGTTCCTTTGTCATCAAATAAGTCTTCTTTGATGGTGACAAAAAAAAATATGTTCGCAATTTTAAGTGAAATATTTAAAGTAAATGTCTATTAATACATCAACGCAACCATTACGTTACAGCAGAAATGTGCATTTTTTGTTTCTGAAAACCTGTTTATAAATGTCATGTAAATTTAAAAATATTCCTATAACGAAAAATAATGCAAACAAATCTTCTGAGCATTACTTGATATAGCGACTCTATAATGACCAGTTTCTCAACCAGTTTGAGCCAATATGATCTTTATCAACTTTTGAAGTAAATCCATCAATTGTATCTAATCTTTTTCATATACTTATACTTTGCTGTACTTAATTCTAATTGTTTCAGAAGTAATAAATAGTCTCTTAATTTACACATTTGGTTTGGATTGAGAATATAGAAATCCAGAGAGTTTGAAAACAACCATTAAGTGTGATTTATTCGCGAGGCAACGGTTGTTTATTGTTCTAAGAGAGTGTGAGGACTCAAAGCGAAGGTAGCAGAGAGGGGGGGGGGGCAAAAACACAGAGGAGAGCGTACCGATCACAGCACGTTCCCGAGATCAGCGACCCCGGGTTCTTCTCAGTCGCCTACTCAAGGTCATCGTACGGTCGTGGCGACGTCGTCGTCGCCGGTTTTACGACACACAAGCGCACCGACCGGAGAAGGCCCCAGGCCAAGCACCAGACGCGACAAGAAGAAACGTGGAAATCGTAAAGAGATCGTCGTCGTTCTGGAGGGAAGGAGAAACTTAGCGTGCCGCCGCCGCGCCGTCCGTAATGGTGTGGTGCTCGGTCCGTTCAAGGTCACCTGGTCCCGGAACCAGAACCGCTTTCTTCGTCCCGTTCGTCTCCACACCGCACACGCGCGCGTACTACATTACTACGCCGCCTCCTCCGGCGCTCCCCGTCTCCTATCCCAGAGAGTGGTTTACGCTTGCATTCCACGCGCGGCCATTATTTATCGACCCGAGTCGAGTGGAGAGATAAGTGAGAATGGCTACCGGAGTTTTCTCTCTTCTACGAAACTCGGTTCCCGAAGCCACTGTAATTACGATATTAATTTCTACAGCGTCTTTCAACACTTTGTAGCAACTGGTAACACCTGCGTCTCTTAAGCTACCCATGTAATACACGCACACTCATCAACATCGTCCATGATTACTTATGTTAACATTTTTTGTAGTCAATTTTTTACAACAAAGATTCCATTACTATTAATATCCACTATTAAAAATGATTCATTAAACCTACATGAATGTATTAAAACATTAATGATAGAGATAATGATGTAGTCATCGATTTTAGCCATAGGCCAAAAACGCGTATAGTTTACGATATCTTCATCTACTGGAAAACCAGTAACAATGAACGGCGATGTTATGAGAGTTCGTTTGCAGATTACGTTCTCTCTGAGAGAACTCAATAGCTACAGTAAAGTGCCCGGAGGCAAGGTATCACAAGGTCGGCGACCACGTTACGACACCGTTTCATGCCGTAGTAGTAGTCACCGTCGTCACACGATCCTTTCTCATTAAAGGATCTCGTTATCGTAACGTAAAATGCGATATTGCTTTCACGTGCAGGTGGTTAACTTTGTCACGTATCCATACATGTACGTAGTAACGTCGTTATATCTTCCAGCACAATCTATAAGTACAATCGCAAACGTTTAAAATAAAAATAGCGTTTGGTCATTACTTAACAAAATTTTTAACAATGATCAATTCACATTATTTATGGCACGATTAAATTTTAACTTAAATGATCTTACTTTTTTGATTCCTTTTGAACCATTTTAGTACGTTGATCTGATCAAAACACTAGTTCAATAGTTTAAACATTCATATCAGACATTACATTGATTTTTTCACTGCCATATTATGTTAGAAACAAAATACAGTAAAACTTCGATATAAGTCATACTATTAATATTATCTATTAATAACTTTATTATCTATTTAATACATCAGTATATTTAAATATAAATGTAAGCGCTCATAGATGTCGAGTTATCTATACAATGTATAAATCAAGGTCGGCAGTTCTAGTTTTAATTATTATTCATCGCTAAAACTACAACATTTGGGTTTAACCGTACGCCTCTTAAGACGACTAAACCCAAATGTTTCTAGTTCTAGATCTAGTATTAGTTCTAGTTGTTATTCAACTAATTTGTTGTATATATTTCATTGAACTAGAACTAACACTAGACCTAGAAGTAGAAACATTCGGGTTTATTATTATTATTGCCGCTGTGCTGAGGGGAGCGGCCCCTCTCGTTACCGCCACCTATAAGATCTATTGTAACTTCAACCTTCCAAAAGTTTAGGATAAATGTAAGTCCTTAATGGACCTTATTATTGCTCCAAGGTCTTGTTCCTTTATGTCGGTAGGTGTCAAAAGAGCTTTACTGAAAATTTCCAAATTCTCTTGGGCAGCCTCTGGCAACACAATTACACATTATATCTTCAACCGTTTCTGACTCGTCGTTGCAAAGTCGACAAGTTTAATCATCAGCTTGTCCAATGTGGAAGAGGTATTATTGTAGGGTCGCATGACCGGTCAGGAAACCTGAGAGCGTCCTTAGATCCCCTTTGCGGAGACATAAAACCTCTTTGGTTTTGGTTTGCGACGGCATTTTGTGGCCTGGTAGTTCTTTCCAGCGTAAGGCTTTTTGTAGTCCACAACTGGGTTATGGTCCAATGAAGGGCGCCTCTTTGGCCAGCTTGTCCGCCTTCTAACTGCCCTCAATATCTCTGTGACCTGGAACCACACTCTCCGATCAGTGCGGAGTGTAGGCCTGAATTGCCTTTAGGGCGGCCCGACTGTCTGTGAAAATGTTTATGGATGCACCTTTCTCTCCCTTTTGTAGGTTCAAAGCGGTGCAGAAGATTATAGCAAGAACTTCTGCTTGAAAAATGTTTATGTCCGAGCTGAGGGGCAATTTAATGCGGCTATTTGGTCCACTAATGCCCATGCCTACTCCGGATCCAACTGTCTTTGAAGCATCCGTGTACCAGGCAAGGGTCCTCTTTTTAGTTGAGTCCTTCGTCCAATCATCCCTGCTTCTAAATATGATCTTATACGGCTGGTCGAAATTGTATTCTGTCAGTATAAGGTCCGTTTTAATTTCAATTAAGTGATTTAGACATGGATCCTTGAGGATTTCGAGGTGTCCTCTGAGGTTACTCTGCATCAACTTGAGTGAAGAGCATATTTTCAGTGTCCTTTTTTTAGAGCAACCATCGGACGAGATCTCATTGCACCTGTTGTATTAAGACATGTTAACCGCTGGATTTGTGAAAGCTGTTGTTGTGCTGTCCTATGATTTGTTTTTGTCCACCAAATTAGTGAGGCATAGGCGACCATGGGTTTGATTATTACTACGTATTCCCACAGAGCCATTCGTGGTTTAATACCCCAGTTCCTTCCGAGGAGCATGCGGCAGATCTCGATAGCCATAATGGGCTTTTTCCTCTCCTTTATCTATGTGAGAGTTCCAGTTTAATTTACAGTCTAATATTAACCCTAGTTATTTAACTTCTGTTTTGAGGTTAATAGTTCTGCCTTTAATGGAAGCTGCTTTCAATAGTAGCTTCCTTCTCCGAGTGAACTATTTCGATTTTGTTTGGATTGATGCTGAGTCCATTGCTTTCTGCATTACTTGAGTTATGATTGTGTCATACAGGGTGGGGCAGAATGCAGTCCCTAGTTTCAAAAATCACTGTAGGGCGCCCAGATCGAATAGAGGGGTGGATCAGGTGCCGTTAGGTAGAGGGAACAATACCGTTATCAATATCCACCATGCCGAGGTCTGGTGAGCAACGAGGCTTTGTTGTGGAGGCGTTCTTTAAAAACGGTGTAAGTGTTGTGGCGACGCAGAGGGCTTAAAACCTAAAACCACTCGGAAATGGATCATTAATGTAAGGGCGACAGGATCTGCAGTTTCTAAAAAACCCGTTGGGCGACCAAAAAGTGAGCCAATTTAACAATCTTCAACCCGATTTGCACGAAAACATGCTGCTGCGCTGCGAATATCGTCCAGATCTGTAAGGCGAATCTTACACTCAGACCTTCACCTGCACCCCTACAAGATGATGTGTGCACAGGAATTGAGCCCACAAGACTTTGTGAAACGTAGAGACCCTTGTAATGCAATCCTAACTGCTGTACCCCCCGGCACTGTTGTGTGGACTGAAGGCGGCGATTGAGGACGTTATCGCTGGAATTTCGCAAGATATACATACTGGGAAGAGTGGCCGAAAAGTTTTTTGAAAGACTTAATATGTGTATTGCTCGCCAAGGCCTCCACTTGGACGATATTATTTTTAAAACATCGTGAAAAAAATGTACTTTTAAGCAATAAAACCTTTTTTATTTATCTCGAACCGTTGTCTTACAATTAAACCTTTCAAATCAGTGACTACATTCTGCCCCACCCTGTATTTACCTCGGATTGTGATTACCAGGTCACCAGCATACCCCTGAATCATGAATCTAATTTTTGTTAACGTGTTTATCAAGTCATCAACAACCAGGCACCATAGGAG